TTCACGGGTACAGTGACTTCACTGCACAGAGTATACTACTGATATAAAAAAATAAACATGCAAGAGCATTGATTAAATTCTTCTATAATTGCATAGTGGCTGGAAAATTTCATTGATATATTATAGATMTCAATTTATGCAAATCAATTCGAACGACCAAATCCATTAACGAAACCAATTTCGTGGAAGCAGCTAGATAATTTGAATAATTTAAATGCGTTTTACTTCCGCATTGTTGCATCTGTGATTAATAATCAATACAAGACTTCACCATGTATGGTGTACGAGAGCAAAAAGTATTTTCCGATGGTTTAGAATATACTAAACGAACTGAAGTAATCGCAACAGATGGAGGGTAAGTAAGAAAGACTTGAACTATTAGCGTTGATTGCTTTGCATATCTATGTAACATTGCCCTGAAGACCTTCCAAAGACGCGTCTAAACRCGTCTTCARCCAAGAGCCAAATCGTCTAAAATATGTAATCTAAACTCTACATTTTTAGGAGGAGTCGACGGGTTCCTGGGAGAATTATATCCGTTGTTTTTATGTCCCAGCCAGCTGTAAGTMACAACTGGTTACCAGCAAGAAATTCAGAAAAAACTTTCCAGGCAAGGAATACTTTCTAAGAATTTTTGCCAGGAAAATAAAAAGCTCCTAAGGGAAAAAATTTAAGCCGTAAAAACGTTATATAAGGCTTTCAGTTTGTTGACCTTAAGTTAAAAATATTTGCCAGACACTAAATTACTTTAAGGAAACTAATTAAGGAAGGCACAACATTTGCTTGTGAGATTGTCAACAATGTAGCTCAAAATCCCTTTCCCAGGAAAAAAAATTCGTACAAGAACAGTTGTTTAGACGAACAGACCCCGTCGCAGCCGTCGGCTCCTTCTGCAATTTGTAAAAGTTATCATTTAGTATAAGAAATGATATTTTAAATGGGTCTAYCAAAGCATAAAACTGACCCCTAAACAGTTCATGCAGAACCAATTTGCTTGACAACATAATAATCGCAGCAAATCATGTCAAAATGATCATTATAACGTTGGGCTAGACTCGTTTCAAACGGTTMACGTGTGCCTGTGTGAGCAGAAACAATATGTTTGCTAAATCGAACATGTCAGATGTTAATAAGAAACGGCCCTAATAATCTATATARTTTGTTTACTTTTTTATGTAAAGATTCGTTGCGCTCGAAGCAACAACTTTAGCAGCACAGCAGCAGCCAAGACCTATAGTGGCTCCCCCAAGTCCACCAGCAATAACAGCTGGGTTAGTATAAAGATTGCTATGGTAGTATTATATAGAATAGCAAGATAAAGGTTCATAACACAACAATACAATTTAATGTAAACATTGTCAAAAGCCTAATGTTTGTGACTATATTCATAACGCAATGTAAACGTTTTACGTAACCATGCAAAGATTGAGTCGAGTGTCCGACGCATGTACGTAACTACGCAACATACTTAGTTCTTACGATAAATGCAATGTAATATAACGTAATGAATAAGTTACATTTATTTATTCAAATAAAGTATATATTACTCAGCTCTGTCATTCAGTTTCGCGCCAGATGATGATGTAGCAATAAATAATACTTGAAATCAAAATAGAGAAGATTCCATCTCCAAAAATTTCTATCCATTCTTGATTGAATATCAATCATATTGAGATTATTCGGACTATCTAGGGTGAACTTTCATGTAATGTAATGACACAATATATTGATTAATCCTTAACTATATTTTCAAATTTCAAGTCCTCCTCCGGTGTTAATTAAGACTGCCCCAGAGCCTGAACCCTGCTGTGACTATGGCTGTTGTGAGTGTGATGATCACTTTAAATGGTACAGTTTCGCTGGCAAAGGTAACATCACTCTTATACTTAAGAAATATAAAACGGTGCGCGTGTCTCTGTCCTCTGATATAAACACGGTGGGAGTTCGAAAAACACGAGAGAAGCAAGCTTAGGAACACGAGCGTAGCGAGTGTTTCTCTTGCTTCTCGAGTGTTTTTCAACTCCCTCCGTGTTTATATCAGAGTACAGAGACACAATCGGCCGTTTTATATTTCTTTTATAAAATTTTTCGAGCGAAAAGAACATTTTGCCGGTAAGCCGTGTCTCTGTCCTCTGATATAAACACGGTCGTCCGCCAATCAGAGCGCGCGTTATATATCAAAAATTTTATAATAAGAAAAAAATTTTTTCGAGCGACAAGAAAATTTTGCCGGTAAGCCGTGTCTCTGTCCTCTGATATAAACACGGTCGTCCGCCAATCAGAGCGCGCGTTATATATCAAAAATTTTATAAAATGTAATAGATATAATATGAATACTGTAGTGATACTTCAACTTGAAAATACAAATTCGTAGATGTAAAAAAAGCATTGCAATTGTGATTTTATCAAGCCCACCGAAGACGATAAGAAAAGTGCGCAAGCGAAGTGCCACAATAGTCGATTTGATCAGCGTTTTGCTCACCGCGAATAGCAAAAATAGTGCGCGTTAAAGCGACTTGCTGTATGAAATCCCAGGTTTTATACGCGCGTTTTGGCTATCTTTCCCTTTCTAGGTTTAATGATCAGACTTGATCCGGATCAAACCRATATAAGGCAAAAGATGTATTGCAAGCTAAAAAAGAACGAAAATAAATGAATCAGAAATGTTTTCTTCTTGCAGGGGCTGGTGTTATCCTTTTACTAATCCTATTGTACCTCATTGGTATCGTGGCCTTCGTTGCTTACATTGCTGCGATTGCTGCTATGTATATTGTTATGTGTGTAATGGCTCTTCTTTGCAGCGGTGATGATGACTGATCCAGGATCGAGTGTAGTACAGATAAATGATTGCCATTCGACATGATAAATCAAGTATTAAGACT